GCGCCTGTATCAGCAACCCAAAATTGTTCCTGGGGAGCAGAGGGCTAATAATTGGCATGCATTGTAGTAAGATTTAAAGATGCAGATCTCCCTTGATAAGAGCAATTGGCTCTGTGATAACACTACATTGCAGAATACCCAAACTTGCCACATATTTGACACTGAACATGAAAAGAAGTCACTGTTGTAGAAGAGTGCCTTTGAAAGAAATCAGCAACAATGTGCCCTCTTTTGTTGCAGATTTGATAAACTGGAACGTCATAACCATGATTAGGACAAGTGGAAACATGTGTTTGACCCCTTGTTGGACCAAGAATACCAGCACCACCATTGGGAGAACCATTATTAGAGAATCGAGGATGATTGCCATACTGATTTCTCCCTCTTGCTCTACCTTTGTAATTGTAACTCCTATAGCCTCATTGATTAAAAGAGTTGCTATTATAACCACCAATATTATAATTCCCAGTATTGTGAGTATAGCCTCTATTGGTACCATTCTGAGAAGAAAAGCTGCCATGAACCTCAGACTGAAACTGATAACTATTTTTATTTGATGACCTTTCATCAAGCATCAAAAGTTTGCCTTTATCCTTTCCCATCATCGCAGACATGAACGAATCAGTAGTGAGAGTGGCTTCAACAATGGCTTTTTCTGCAATTAGCTGTGCTCGAAAATCTTTGAGTGTAATAACATCTTCTCTACCTCTAATTACTATCCTGAAAGTATTGTATTCTGCAAGTAATCCTTTAAGAGCAAGAATGACAATATCATCATCATCAAAAACAACACCAGCTGCAGAAAGATGGTCTCTAGCATCTTTGATCCTTTGCAAGTACTGAGAGACTGATTCAGACCCTTTCTTAATATTCTGTAATTCAGTTTTCAACTAAAAAATACAACCTTTGTGATAGTAGAAAACTTATCCTTCAAGTTTTGCCACATTTCATGAGAATTAGTGCAGTCAATGATACAAGACATGGCGGTGGTAGACAAAGTGGCAATGATTAATTGCATCAAAGCACGATCATGCATTTTCCAGATCTAAAATGCCTCAGTTTCAACACTTTCCTTATCAAAACTTTCATCAAATCGAGATGGACAACATCGTGTGCCATCAACAAAGCCAAGTATGCCATGACTTTCAAGAAGAATAACCATTTGATAACTCCAAACAAGATAGTTTGTATCATCAAGCTTAATAGTCACAGAATTCCACACAGTAGAAATTAAACTAGTAATAGGAGATTGCACAATCTGTAATTGAGCAGCAATCACCATGCTTTCACAATTCTTGATAAGAAAAGAGGATATCGCATAAGAAAATCTTGAGAAAAACCAGAAATTAGGGTTTCAAATGATACTGAATCTTGAAGAAATGAAGGAAGAAGGACAGATTGTAGAGAGATTTGCAGAAGAATTACGCAGACTTTCAATTACACAATTCGTTGAACACTTGGTGCGCACATTTCCAAGATGCACCAATTTGTACAAATGCACAAAGAAGAAGATTGCAATCAATCAAGAACACCAAATATTCATACCAGATTGAAGATAACTAGAATGCGGAAGCAGCAGATGAACAAGATCGAAGAGAGAATTCCATAACCGGCGAAGATACCATATCAAATGAGCAGAGATGAAAATCACAGATCAAACCTATAAAGAATCTAGAGAGAGAAAGAGATACATATCGAAGAACAAGAGAGAAAGAGAGAGAAATCTTTCTGTGTATTTTTTATTAACCTCCAATGTAACAATACAAGACTATTTATACTATTGTCTTTGCTTACAGACTAAGCTAACTGAATTACATAATCTTCTGACAAGTGTCACCATCTGAGACTTGAGCTGAGTTCTTTATATCTTTACATCAACCACTACATGCCTATGCGTATATCCTTGAGTTGTTTGCCGTCTTGTTGGGAGGAGGCAATTGTGATTTTATTGTGTTGGGTAAATTTTCTAAAGCCCAAAAACATGTGACTCAACTGCCCTTTTCTTCAGTCGGGTTACTGGGTACTAGGACTCTGAATGGTTTTTGCTCAACCCTGTTAAGAGGAGCTAAAAATGTCATAAGACCCAAGAAAAAATTTATATAGTCCACATCACAAGAATAAATGTTTCCTTGTTTAATTGTTTTAATTAATGGAGTGAACGGATTCGAACTTTGTACATCAACCCGAACTAGAAAATAAACACAATTATTTCAATTGTGTTTTCGACAAGCACTTGGATCTTTTTTTTTTTTTTTTTTTTTTGAACAAACGATATTATCTACATTAGGGAGAGAGGATGAGCTTAGCCTCACAATAGGCTAGCAATAATATTTCAAACTCGTCTTTGGCGAGAATCGAACCTAAGCGATATTGAAAGAACATCGAATAACAGGATAAATACTCTAACCACTTAAGTTATAAGTCCTTTGTAACATTTGGATGTGTTGAGAAAAAAAAAAGAAAAGAATGAACCCGAAAAGAAACAATTGTTATATTGGATGACAACTTGTAAAAGACTAAATATTGCTAAAGCGTATGAAGGGGATTAGATTTTATAAAAATTTGAAGGGTTTTTATTAGAAATAGTCTCTAAAATGAGCACCAATTATCAATTTAGTCTTTAAAGTTGAAAATCAATAAATGTCTTGTAACATGACTAGCTAAGAACATTTTCGTCAAATATTTTGTTAAAAATAATGCTAGACAAACTAAATTTGTGCACCAAATGATGTCTCGCTAATCAAATGTGTTCCTTAATTCAAATTAGAATTTAATTAATAATTGTAATAAAAATTTATATAATATAAAATGTTCCACATCATTTGATGCACAAAATTAATCTACGAAAGTGTGACACACCTCGACCGAAATCAAGGCATGACTGTCCAATTGGACTGCACTTAGACTACTTATGCTCTGATACCAACTGACACACCCCAACCTAAATCAAGGCGTGACGGCCAGCAACCTTGATTTCGGTCGGGGTGTGTCAAAGTGTATGTAGCACCATCATTTTGTTAGTGAGTTGACGTGGCATACATGACAAGTGTATTAAAATAAAATTAAAGTTTCTAAAATGATTTTAAAGTTTTGAAAGAAAAAAAAAACTTATTATATTAACACCCCACAAATTGTCGAATAAACCCCACATATTTAATACACCCCACATTTACTTTTTCACTTAAAAATTATCTTAATACACCACATACTTTCCCATAATACCCCCACACCCTACATTCTCAATATACACCTTATATTTTGTACATACACCCCACATTTCTATACATACCTTCTGAGTTGATTAAACTTAATTATTTTTATGAGTGCTGTTAATTGATGATACATGTTCATCGTCACCAATTAAAATAAGATCGTGATTTATGTGGGGTTCTAACAAAATTAGAATTTCTTTGCTAGCTGTTTCTTTTTCGCTTTAAGATGGTACCAAGGATCTAGGATGCTAGGACTGCAGTAACGTTAGTTTAAATGGTACCAAAGATATCGTATTATAGAGTTTCTTAGAGAAAAACAAAGCCCAAAAATCAACAAAACCCTAGCAGCAAAGAAATTGATGACAGCCACAGGGATCCTTATGATCCCTAAAAGATGAATATGAATATAGAAATTTAAATAACGTAGCAAACATAAGATTAAATTATCTCATGTGAAGCTTCCGAAACATCGATTTTGTGTTCCATTCGTCAAAAGCAATTTTTCTCAATCAACATATTTGTAGTTTCATTAGTTAGGGTTTTGTTCAACATAGGAGGGTGGGAGAGTTTTGATAGTTGAGAAGATAAATAATACGCTAAAAGTGATTTGGAGTGTATTTAGAAATTTTTTTTTCAAAGCCTAATAAGGTCAAAATTATCATTGCATAATGGGATAAATAAGTCATTTCGTATTAAATATTAATGTGAGGTGCATTCAACATTTTGTGGAGTACTAATAAAAAAAAGCCAAAAAAAAAGACAAAAGATAAATATGAATAAAAAACTGAAACAAACACAATAAACCCACCCAGCAATTCCGGCCGGAGTCGCCCACCTCCACCAACGTCAGCGCCATAAACTTTAAACCCTAAACAACCCTAAGAAATCCAACAGAAAATACCGAAAAAAAATACCTAATAGAAAATAACCCTAATTGAAAACTATCCCAGTAGGATTTTTTTTTTTTTGTCAAGCGACAGAATTTTGTTAAATTAGGTGTTAAGATTAGCCACCGATAGGGTTTGAACCTAATTAAATTAGGTGTTACATTAACTACCGACGAGATTTGAACTCACGCCGTCATATAAGGATTCAACACCTTTCCCAACAGGATGCAATATTGTTATTAACTAACTATAATTGGAATAAAAACATATACTTAAGTAGTCCTAGCTCCTAAATGATCCATATTGACTAGCTCGTGTATATGATCGGATGTTACTATATTGCTAACAAATTAGGCAGAGTGTATTATAGACTTCTTTTTTTGCAACGTTTCTTAAAATTCTAATTTAATCTTACTTTGCTTTTTGAAACTTAAATTTTCACTTTGCCCCTTTCACTTCGTTTTGCGATTTTCCGTCAATTCTATTAGTACTCTATCGTGACATAAGTGGGACCCACTAGTTTGCTGATATGTCTACCACATCAACTGTTTTGCTAAAATGCAGAGAAAAATCAGGAGGTGCATTTTCATGAAATGCTAAAATGCAGATCTAACAGTCAATGACCACTAGTAGAAAAAAGCTTATCTATCATGGTCGATGCCCGTGATAGATTGCAGTCCACCATGGACACTGTGCCCGTTAGTAATTTGAATGTGATAGAAAGTCATAGATTTTACCACGGGTTATGCCCATTAGTCAATTGTAATATAACCATAGATTGTACCCATTGTAAATTAAGATCTAACATCACGTGCACTATAATCATTGTGGATTACAAACTGGCCACAACTAATGCCCATTATAAAAAAAAAAAATTCTAAAAATAAAAAAAATTATAAAATATTGTTTAATAAATGTATTATATAATATTTATAAACAAAATTACACATTTACTATAATATAACAATTAAATAAAAAATCATAGATTCAAACATTACAGTTGTACACTAAACTAAAGCTAACAACAAAATGATAAGATATACAAAGAAATACCAAACTATCCAGAGACCCCCAACAAACGAGAACATTATCACTTGAAGACTTCACATTTCTTTGAACACCTCCAAACAAAGGACCTTGAGAGTGAACTACTGCCCCTACTGCTTGAGCCTCAGCAATTGTTGCCTCTCTCTATCTGGATGGACATAAGCATATGGATCAAGAAAAAATCTGGTACTTGTATAGGTAGAAATATACATTTGATCTCAATCAAGAAAAGTGAATAGAACTCTTGAAAAATTACATGTTCCCTTACCTGCTAGGATGCTCTCATACGTACTTTAACAACCACTCTAGGCTCTGTCAAATGTAGCACATTGTCAGCTACGTTAATATACAATGATTATATTAAATTGCAAGCGAAACTCTTAGGAACTTAAACGGAGAAATGAAAATGCAATCAAAATTCATGATATCAGAATTCATCCATACCTCTATGCATTCGTGTAATCATCACCTTCTGTTCTCACATGAGTCTACAAAACCATAAGATTGTGTCAATGAGTAATTGAGAACTGGATGTGTGCAAGACTGAACTCGTTTACGTGTTCGATCGAAGGGGACCACACATTGACTGTCGCCCGAGCGCCATACACTCCTTGGATGTTCTAGTGTACGCGATTGCATGCTACATAGTCAATTAATCACCATTTACTTGGAAGTTGAAAATCTGTATTTTCTGTGACATTTTTACACTGAACTGTTTGTTTGTAAATTGACTTTGCTGTAGAAATTTCTATCCTTTTTGCATATCCCCAACAGGTAAAAAGAAACAACACTCAATTTAGAATACTTAATTAGTTAGGGTTTACCTCATGGCCATTCCCGCTGACTACATCAGGGGCATCGATGCGTATGGAAGCAAGATCAGCAGTAATGTTTAGGGTACGGTGCTGTTTCTTGCCAAAGTCAACCATAGACTTGGTCCTCAGCACATCATCCACTGTGCTCCGCCGTATAGGAATCGTTCCTCTCGGACATCTCGTCCTGTTTCTATGCCACATTTGCTGCAGTGCACCCTTAATCACATTCATCTTCTTCGTTGCTACTGCTCTTGGCCATTCCGGTGCCTTCCTCTACAGTTAGTTATATACGTACATAAATGTGATTAACTCAACAAATCAATACTAATATATCAGCACCAAACCCTAGCTAGGTCATGATTAACACAACATTTTAATTCTATGATACTATTTAAGTTACATAACAAACTGTTTTTATTTTGATATAAGCGATTTTTACACAAATTCATCTAAACTACAACGAATGCAAATTTGTTTTACACTAAAGCCACTAAATTACGGAAGAACAATTTGAACTTGAGTACATAACGAAATCATAACTACTCTAGCTAATTATATTTTTAAAGAGGGTAGAGTGATGTATATATATTGAAATTTTAATTTGCTTACATATATCAAATAACAGGTAGCAATGTTTATACTTACTACATAACTACTCCAACCCATCTTCAATCATTTTCACATAGAACCAAAGCATCACATACATCTCAAAACAAGTATCAATGTTTATACTTACTACATGACAACATATCAAATAACAGGAGCAGAAACAAGGAAAGCATCACCTAGGCCCTAATTAATCACATGTTGTCAATAAATAAGGGGGACCATTATTCTTTTAGGACAAGGGGAAAGGCAAAATTCCCAAGTTTCCAACCTGTACAATTGCAGCAGTCACTGTATCCAAAAAGGTGTTGGCAGTGTAACCATTTGACTGCATGAGAAGAAAATTTAACATACAAATTACTTTTACCTCAATACATAAATTAAAAGTTCCTTAACAAACTTGATGCTAAAGTAAAATGAACTTACATCACATCTTGTAACAATGTCGAGGGAAAAAATGGGGATAATGGATAAATAGAAGAAAGCAATGAAAGTTGAAAACCAGAACAAATCAGTTTTCTTTGAGAACAAAAAACAAACACCTGGTGTGCAAGTCTGAAAGTTGAAAACCAAGCTCCGATGCTTCACTTGATGATTAAACGTTGATGGTGGTGAGCGCATATATCAAAAAGGCGCATTGTAGTACCTGTTTTTCTCAGAAGTAGAATTGAACAAAACAAGCCAGAGTAATTCATTAAAAATCATCTTACATGACTCACTAGTCGCGACAGAGTGATGATTTGCAAACAAATATGGGAGGACTTGCCCTCTATTGGACAATTATAATTAAACGAACCTATCATATTGAAATTGTCTATCCCTCCTAAACACTAAACCTTCTATGCTAACAAACAAATAGACTTCAAATGCAGAATGTCTACATTCCATTTTGGGCGCTCAAAATCACGACCCATACGGCTCCACCTTATCACCTCCGTAATCATAAACACTGTCGCCATAACCACATCGGGACCATCATCATACCACTTCCCATATGGATCCGAACCCAAATCGGATCGGCTTAGGTTGTATCCCCCATACCTATCATCTAAATAGGAGCTGCCGCCATGATCGAATTTTAGAGAATTCTCGTATGGATTTTCGTATACAGAACATATACATGAGCATATTGGAACAAGCTTTGGGATTTTTACCTTACAAAAGAAGCCGCGAACTTGGGTGGGCAATCGACGGAAGGGAGGACGAGTTCGCGAGGAACTCGCTGGGTTTGCAATTAGAGATGGTTTTGTTTCTGATTCCGAAAAGGTTGAATTAGGCTCGGGTATGCAAAGGTGGAGGCTTTTGGAAATTTCTGAATAGAAATAAAGAAACTACCAGAGAGAAATGAAAATGAGGAGGAAAAGCTAACGCGCTCATGTTTTCAATTATGAAGATAAAGACATCCACCACGGGCCGAAGGTGTGGTAAATTCACAAAAGACGATGTGGTAGTTTGAAGTAACAACCACGAGCATATCTCGTGGTAATTATGATATTTCATCACAGATATAAATGTCCTTTGTAGATTATTCGTTTTTAACAACGGGCTAAAATTTGACCGTGATGGATTAATGTTATATATCACGAATTAAACTTGATCATGGTAATTGAATAGTTTTTACCACAATCTATATATGCCCGTGATAGAATTGACGTGGTAGATGAACTGTTTTGTTCTAGTGAACTGCCCTTTAAGCACTTGAGAAGCTGGAAATTTTCATCAATCTCAGAAGCGACTCAGTTGGCAGCTTCACATACAACCCGGCTCCACATATTGCTCTGAAAACAAACTCTCTGTCCACCTTGTTTCTCTTCCTCTCTTCTAATCCGTACACACGCAAGCTTCTAGTAAACTCTGCCAAACGAAACAAAAACACACACACACACGCACCTAAAAAAAAAAACCCTTTTTTTAAACCATTTAAAAAAAAAAAAAAAACAAAACCCAACAAGCAGAAGAGCAGAATGATTCGATATGTAGAGAGAAAAGGGGAAAATTGAAAATGGGGATGGTGGGTTTGATAAACTCACCGTGGTTGGTGGTGTTCTTGAAGTGCAAGAGAGATCTCAGCAAATGGGGGTCACATTCACAGTCGCAAGAATCTATGAGAAGGGAGAGAAGAAGATCATGGTGTTGTGGGGATAAAAAAAGTAGAAACGGACCATTTCATGTAGGTTCACAGAAACCAAAGGGGTGAATTCTCACTAATTTCCAACGACCGAAAGTCCAACCGCACGTCCTTACACCTATGTGGCTCTGCACTATACTGGTACTAAGGTAGTGTGGAGAACGGAAAGGGAAGAAGAAAAACCTATGTAGCCCACGGCAGCAGCTTTCTAAATATTTTTTAGGTGACTTGGTAATGATGTTGCAATCATAAAAGTTGGGTAAATGTCATATATATGTACTCTGTTTATTTAATATGCCTTGAGAAGTGGAGTTTCAACGGATAAAGAAAAAAATAAGCCTATATTATATATACGGATCATGTCATATATATATTTTTCCAAAAAAAAAAAAAAAAAAAAAAAAAAGTCATGTCATATATATATGCTCCGTCTATATAATATGCCTTCCGAATAGGGAATGTTCGTGAGAATACACTTTATTTTTTTTTAATTTTGTGCACCCCCGTTGTTAATTTTGACCATCAATTTTACTTTAGTTGTTCAATCTAACTGTTATAAAACTACACAAGTTTGTAAGAGATGAAAAAATTATGTGAAAAACATTAACCCTTCATAATTATTATCAGCTAGTTGAGCATCTTGCATGTTGAGTTTAGAATTCATGCAAGCCAAACATAATTAGACAAGTCGTCTCTATTTCACTTACAAGCTTTTAGGGCATTGTATGAGGTTGAGCTGCTCTCTTTATTGTTAATCAAGTTCACCAGTCACATGCTTCAGATAAATATATGTTGTCTACATGTTTGATTTGAGTGTTGCACGTGAATCATGTGTGAGGATGTGAAGTGTTATCTCACATCGGAAAACAACCATCTTGTTTGCATCATGCCATCCAATGGTTACACTAGTAAAAAAAACCTTGTGTGACGAAACCCTAAACTTCGTCGCTCAAAGTCTTGCACGACGAAAAAACATTGTCGAGCAAAGTGACTTTGCGCAACGAAATTTTGAGCGACAAAAATTTAAACTTCGTCACGCAAAGTCTTTACAAAAATAAATAAAATAAAATAAATTTTAAATCTTTGCGTGACGTAATTCAAATATTTTGTCGCCTAAACCAATTTATTTTCATTTTTTATTTTGTACACATAACACTTAAGAAATTGAACGGTATATATATTTATTAAGTAGCTTTAAATTTATTATTGTAATTCGGATCGGGTTTTTGTTATAAAAATATATTATTGTAGTTCGGATTGAATTTTTGTTAGAAAAATATATTTTAAATTGACGATCGAATTAGTTCATTGTATTCATACAAGGTCAAGGAGTGTATCTGTAAAAAATCATCAAAATCGGAGTTGAAATAACCATTAAATAGTGAATTTTCGTTTATAACCGTCAAAAAGTTTTGTCTCATTACTTGATCTCTAAATGTTTGTTTTTTGTGATTTTTGGCGTATATGATCTCGAAGTATATACAAACAAGTTTGACGGTTGGATCGTTGAAATGAGTTTCATAGAATGCGTATCCCATCAAAACAATAGATTCACTAATACTTAGAGTTTATTTATATTTTCATTAAGTATAACATAAGATATCCACTAGTGTAAATATTTTAAATTGAAGATCGAATTTAGTCGTTGTATTCATATAGGGTCAAGGAGTGTAGCTGTGAAAAAAATCATCAAAATCGGAGTTAAAATAACCATTAAATCGTGATTTTTCGTTTATAACCGTCAAAAAGTTTTGTCCCGTACTTGATCTCTGAATGTTTATTTTTTGTGATTTTTGGTGTATATGATCTCAAGTATATACAAACAATTTTGATAGTTGGATCGTTGAAACTAGTTTCGTAGTATGTATATCACATCAAAACAATAGATTCACCAACACTTAAAGAGTTTACTTATATTTTCATTAAGTATAACATAAGGTTTTGTTGTATCCACTAGTGTAAATATTTTAAATTGCAAATCGAATTTAGTCATTGTATTCATATAGGGTCAAGGGGTGTAGCTGTAAAAAATCATCAAAATCAGAGTTAAAATTACCGCTAAATCGTGATTTTTCGTTTATAATTGTCGAAAAGTTTTGTCCTGTTACTTGATCTCTAAATGTTTTTTTTTTTTTGTGATTTTTGGTGTATATGATCTCAAAGCATATACCAGTGTTCTAAAAATCAGCCTAGGCGTTGGGCGGGGGAGCTCCGACCCGATTTAGACCAAAACGTTCAGTTAGGCGGGGATGACTTAGGCGGCCACCTAGGCACTCGCGAGGTGCCTTAGGCGGGCTAGGCGTCAGTCTAGGTGGTTTGAATCTAGCTGCAAATCCCAAACTCGCTGTAATTTTCGCAACCGGATCTACAACTTCCGATCTCGTACGTAGCAGCAGAGCTCCATCAAGAGAGAGAGAGTGAGTGAGTGAGTGAGAGAGAGAGAGAGAGAGAGAGAGAGTATTAAACATTTCAATTTGTGGTGGCGCAAGTTGGATTTGAGATCCAATTTTGAGGTTCTGAAAGTGAAAGGGCGAAGAAGAAGAACGAAGATGAGGGAGGAGAGAGTGCCGAGAGAGAGAGAGAGAGAGAGACTAAAAGATTCAATTTTGAGTTTCTAAAAGGGCAAAGAAAGAAAAAGAAACGAAATTTTCTTCTTGAGTTTCTGAAAGGTCAAAAGTGGGTGATGGGTTTATCTTGGGTGATGTGAAAGAGGTAAGGTGGACAGCTACTTTCATCAAATAGTTTATTATGAAAACCACCCACTTGCATGGCCGTGGGCTTTTTATATTTTAAAAGTTTGGCATGTATATTATATGTATATAAATGTTATATAAATTATAAATTATTAGATAATTTTTTTTTTCTAGCTAGGCAAGCATATTAGAAATGTACATAAAACATTCACATATGTATGTTCTTCTATAAGAAATAACATATTATTCAATAATTATTTACATCTGATATAGTAAATTTAATTAATTCATATAATATATAAGAAATTTACCTAAATCTACCTAGGCGCTAGGCCCCAACCCACCACCCGACTAGCGTCTAACGCTTTTTAGAACCTTTGCATATACAAACAAGTTTGACGGTTGGATCATTTAAACTAGTTTCGTAGAATGCAAATCCCATCAAAACAATAGATTCACTAACAATTAAAGAGTTTGTTTATATTTTCATTAAGTATAACATAAGATTTTGTGGTATCCACTAGTGTAAATATTTTAAATTAAAGATCGAATTCAGTCATTGTATTCATATAGGATCAAGAAGTGTAGCTATAAAAAATCACCAAAATCGGAGTTAAAATAACCGTTAAATCATAATTTTCGTTTATAACCGTCAAAAAGTTTTGTCCCGTTACTTAATCTCTAAATATTTGCTTTTTGGTGTATACGATATCGAAGTATATACAAAGAAGTTTGAAGGTTGGATCGTTGAATGGTGTGTGTGTGTGTGTGTGTATTAAGTAGCATTAAATTTATTTATTTTGTACGTATAACACTTAAGAAATTGAATGGTATATATATTTATTATGTAGCTTTAAATTTATTATTGTAGTACGGATCGGGTTTTTGTTAGAAAGATATATTATTGTGGGTTTTATGTAAAAAAAAATTGAATTTGAAGGGAGTAAAGTCACATTTTCAGTAAACTTTATTATTTATAAAAATGATTTTTATAAATTTTGCGTGATGAACCAATAATTCGTCGCGCAAAATCCTTAAATTTGGATGAAAGCAAAAAATGGGACGCAGGAATTTTTTTTAAGACTTTTCGCAACCAAAATCTAAAAATTTGGACGGCCACCAAACATGGAATGCGGGAATTTTTTTTTTTAATTTTTTTCAAGTGGTCGCACAAAACTCTAAAAATTTGGGCGGGCACAAAAAATGGGCTGTGGGAATTAAAAAAAAAACAATTTTTTAGTGGTTGCGCAAAACTTTGCACGACCAATTTTTCGTCACTCAAAACTTTACGCGACCAATACTTCGTCGTGCAAAACTTTGTGAAACCATTCGTCATGCAAAACTCTAAAAATTTGGGCAGGTAAAAAAATAGGACAGGGGAATTTTTTTAAGACTTTGTGCGACCAATATTTCGTCGCACAAAGTGATACAGTTTTTAAAACCAAAATAACTTGTCCACAATTTTGTCAATGTCCTTCTCTACTCTTAGCTCTCCTCTCTCTTTCCCTCTCCCCAAATCCGACCCTCTCTCTCACACTCACTCCTCTCACTTAATCTCTCGTCTCTCTCTTCACTCTCACTCACTCTCACTCACTCTCTCATCTCTCTCTCACTATCACCTCTAATTCTCTCACACTTACTCCTTCCTCTCATTCTCACTCAGTCTTAATCTTGCCAAAAGGTATATTCTCCCCAAATTTTATTTTGTTTCATTAATATGTGTTTTTGGAGTTAGTTTTGAGTTTGGTGCAGGGTTTGGGGTCGAGTATAGGATGAGGAGTAGAGTTTGGGGTTGGATTTGGGGTATACCAATTTTAGGGGAGATTATGCTAATTTTTTGTTATTTTTTTGTTATTTGACCATATATATATATATATATATTTTTTTTTTAGGGAATCGTTGAGACTTTTACAGCTAAAGTTGAGGATTAGGACACTATCAAAACATATCCCCCGCCACTACCACCACAATAGACTTGTATTAGGATTTTATTATTGTAGTTTGTTAATTTATGTGTACATTTTGTATATATTATATATATTGGATAATTTGATCACTATTTTTCATATGTAATTTTATTTTGAATATTTCAATTTAAATTAAAGTATTTTAAAAAATAAAATCATACAATTAAATTAAATTAAAAAAGTAAAAATTCGAAAAATCTTGCGCTACCAAATATTTCGTTGCGTAAACAATTAATATGATTAAATTAATATAAGAGAAATAATAAAACAAAAAAAATCAAAAACCTTGTGCGACAAAATATTTTGTCATGCAAAATATTAGATTAATTTATTTTAATTAAAAAAATTAAAACAAAATTTTAAATTTTAAAATATTTCATCGCGCAAAGTAGCTTTACGCGATGAAGATTAATTTTTGTTGCACAAACCCTATCATTACGAGCTTTGCAAGATGAACCATGCGCGACTAAAATTTCGTTGCGCAAAGTGTTTTTTGCAATAGTGTTAGCACTACAAGGGAAGATTTTTTGTGTGCTTAAA